TCAAATTAGTACAATTCTGGCGGACCCGCATTAGGCGTGTTATGACACTTGCCAAACTTTGCTACAAAAATCTCCAGATCAGGTACAGAATTGCAATAGCACTAGGAAGCAGAACGAGCAAGGTGGAAGAACTTGGATTTATTTCTTGGAGAAAACTATTAGAACGTAATTTGTAAATCATTACTTTACTTTGGATTTCCTTCTGCATCTGTCCAAAACACGTGGAGATTTCTGACTTTCTTCGGGCCAAACTGGAAAGCCCTGTTCTGTAGCAGAAATTTGCATCAAATATGTGTAATTGAGGGATCTCACATAACTTCTCTAACTTACAGGACTCCCCTGTAACGATTTTGCTGTGCAAAGCTTGTGTCACTGTAAACAGCAAGAAATCACCCCCCAAATCTCCATAATGTGTCTGATCCTGTGCACACCCTGCCTTTCAGTCCCTGGCTTCACCAGCGGTCTTTAGGTATAAGTCGTCTTTCACATAAAACATTATCTGTGACATTTCATGAGCAGATTAGAGAGAAAGACAGAAGCTTCAACTCTTCCAGACGTGTCCTTTTAAAACTGAGCTAATTTGCCATGTCATACATGCACCCTGGTGCAGAATATGTTAATTTTTTTTTTTTTTTTGGCACTTCATCTGATTATTAGAATAACAGGTCAAAAGCAGACAGCCGATTGCTGTGATTACGTGTACCCTGAGTATTCTTCATGGTTGAATGACAACCTCTGGACCCTTTTATCATCCTTCAAACTACCTCAGCAGAGCTACCTTAGTGTAGTTAAACTGCAGCAAAGTGCCTCTGCTCTGAGGCAGTAATCTATCAATGCAGCCAAACACCCACCTGTCCTGCTGCAGACCCATGCTCTTCCATTCCCATAGCCAGAGACAGAATAAAGGATTAAGGCAGTCACGTTTTCTCTGCATTAATTTGAGTTGTTGTGACCATTCAATCCTCCCCAATTCATCAGGCCCTCAAAAATTTTTTCCAAAAAAAAAAAAAAAAAGGCTGATGACTAAATTCTATAAAAATCTAAATCTTCCCCCCAACAAAATCCCTAAAATCAGCCTGACCCCAGGGAAGGGTTTGGTTACCTGGCAGAAGGTTAAACACAGAACCCCAGTTCCTGTGATCCATGAAGTGCAACACAACACTCCAGGTCTCTGCATCACCAGCAGGAGAAACGTGGGAAAAGCTTTGCTTGCAGCAGTGTTTTACCCTCTGTAATTTGGAGCTTTTAAAACTTCTCTGCACATCGTGCCTTCAGCCAGAGAACACGTTACCCAATGGCTTCCCATGCTTCAGAAATCACCGCTAGCCAGAGAACGAATTTGGGTTTGCACGGACACACTCAAACAGCTGCTGGAAGTTAAAGGAACACTAGTTTAAGGTCAGCACCTTGCGGTTGTTTAGGCATTTTCATGGCTGTTCACGAATTCCTGTTGCTGAAACTTAGTTCCCTATTAACCCACGGCTGTATTTAACAGGACCTGCTAGAAATAAAGAATCACTGGAGACCATCTTCTGAGGCCAGGCTTTCACTGAACATCGCCTTCAAGCTGCAGGTGGGGTATTGAAGGAAAAGTGGTGCTACCTCCAACCATCTCCCACTCGTTGTGCCTACGATCTTAAACACGTGCACCAAGGATGAAGGAAACCCTTCCCAGCCTGAGACAGCACCCACCAGCACCTCTATGGTTGTTACACAGCTGCCAGGGGTTGGTTTGCTAGGAAAACGCATCCAAAACCCCACACATCCCTAATGGTTCTCATAAGGGACACAAAATTTCATTGCACGATATAAAGGCTGATTTGATCCTAACGGATACATCCAGACGATGCAGTTAAACAGGGCTGGAAGACAGTTTGCACTGGAGCTCTGATCACCGCAGAACGGACAATCCAGGTTTGTTCAGAAATCAGTAATAGCTTGTCATGGAAGTTTACAGCCCATGGCTGAAATGCACCATTAACTGTGGTTCTTCCAGATTTAACACAAAAGGTGTTGCTGTGAATATATTTAGCTGTCACTCCAGAAGTTAAGCATTATGTTGTGATGCCATTATTTTAGTAATGATTGACAAAGCCAAGTTGCTCTTGAGATATACCTCTGGGGCTTTGCTTCAACTCAAAGGTCAAGAAGTCTAATCAACCCTGATACACCTACTCCACCCAGGTTTGTTATTTGTTGTTAAAGTTTTGCATAAACCCAGTCCAAACCCTGATATCCTCAAACGTTTACTTTCAGCTCACTGCTAATTAAAGGCAAATCTCCGAAACGATGCCCTCCGAGAAAGCATCTCTCATAATGTTGCCAAGTGCATGCGCTGCACAACATAAACAGTCCGAACTCGTTGGTGTCCTGGTTCAGACCAATCCTTTTCAATTTTGTTCAACATTAAATTGCCAAACCAATTTCTTATCTGTTTTCTTATAAGAAAAAGCTCCTGGAGTATAAAAATGTGCCCAGCCTTGCTGGGAACCTTGTGACTCTTACAATTTCAGGCTTCAAGGAGATCACCCATCAGGGAACTAATTTCAGATTTCTTCCTCTCACAATTACTTTCCTCTCACCAGCACCCGGGGTACTTCCAATTCAGAGCTACCGACCAGATCATCCCGGTATTCTGGGGGGCAGGTACCACGATGAGCTCCTGGTACAGAAAAATAACACATAGCATCTGTTCTGGGTCTATTTCTAGAAAAAAAGGGGAAGAACTGAATTCTGTGACTTCTCAGCTTCCTGGCCTAATGATGTTTTCTGCTGGTTGGCCCCACACAGAGGTTTCAAGTGGTGGTGGCAATTGGTGGAGCCTGTCTCTGTGTTCCCCCTAATGAAGCCAGGAGGAGGAAGGGTTGGCTAAGAGGGGTCCACCAACAGCCCCGTGTTTTGCTTGCGAGGTGATCCAGATACTGAAGAGCTGCTGCTTCAGCAGTTTGTGACCTGCTGAGCAGCTTGAACACATGAATATCACCAAGAGCCCCATCACTTGCTCTCAGCCAGCCAGGACCTGCCACCAAAAGCCCAGAGGAGCTCTGCATCCAAACCCACCGTGGAGCACAAGCCCTCCTGCCTGCTCCCTGCCTACCCTGACACTGCTGCCTTCAGGGTTGGGTAATACCAAGACTCATCTTCTGAGTAGCCTCATATCTGAGGGCTCTCTCCAGTCTGAGGGATTTTTCTCGGCTTTTTGTCATTCCCCCCATGAAGAGATACATATACACATACATGAAAGGTACCCCCTGCTCCCTCCTCCTCACCCACTTGCTGATGAGAATGTCTCTTGCCTCCTCAATCAATTATATCCATCTCATCAAGTGGACTTAGGAGGCAGCCCTCTGACAGATGTTAACCCATGGCCATTAGATTAAAAATCTGTTATTTCCTCATCACCTTACGTCGTTGCTAGGTGACAAATGCATCTCCCAGGCAGCAATGAGGACTACTGCAACATACAGCGATTTATGATTGTCCATCAGCTCTTTGCTTGAAGTGCCTGGTCCTCTGGATGGGAGGAAGATGTGCAGTTCTAGGATCATCCAGACTTTGAGAGTTGCCACAGAAACCACCTCCTCTGTGGGACTGGCTCTTTCTGGGCTTCATGAGAGGGGATGCAAGACTGGGACTGTGAAAGACTTTTCCAGAAAGCAAGCAAGCAAGGAAGGACAGTGGCAGGAGGAAAGGTGGCACAGCCACAAAGAAGGACATGGGACAGGAATGCACAGAGAGGTGATGTGGAAGGGAGACAAAGGAAGGCAGGGCAGCCCTGCTATCTATGTTAAGATTGACAGACAAGATTCAGTTAAGCGTGTGTTGGCTTTTTTATGTCGCAGTGTTTTCACATCATCCATTTTTCCTCCAGCCCACGTCTGCTGGGAGCTCTCCCCTCCCTACTCGACTTCACCACCGTGCCTGGCTCAGTCTTTACTTTTGCAGCTGCATCCTCAGCATCGAGGCTCAGCCAGGCTGCAGTCATCCCTCCTGGCCCATACTGGGAAGACTCAGGGCTGGTAAATTCATTCTAGCCCAAGAGAAGAGCCAGGTAACAGGGAGGACTGAGCATTGCCTCTCTGCAACAGAACTAAAGCAGCTTCGGTCTCATCCTCACAAAATGAAAGCTGTGAAGAGCTGCTCACTCCCTGCACACCGAGATGAATAAATCCAGCGCTGGAGAGAGCTATTTAAGCTAACAGCTAGTGCTGGCATGGGAACAAATGGGAGCAAACTGGCCATGAATAAATGGAGGCTGGAAAGGCAAAGGCAGCTTGCCCCATCCGGAGCAGCGAGGTTGTGCAGCAGCTTGTCTGGGGGAGGAGAGTGGGCACAACACCAAACAGCACCCGGGATGGAAGTCACTGAGCTCCCACAGGGCATGTAACCGCTTCAATGGGACCTGCTGACCCAGGGAGCCCTTCCCCACCCCATGGAAACCAGCCCGGTTGGTCCTCAGCCCCTCAAACCCATCCGCACGCACAGGAATCAGCCAGCACAGCCCCGGGCGTGCCTGAGCGAGGAAGGACGAGCTCTTTAAAACAAGCCTTGGCAGAGCTGGCACAGCCCTTGTCTCGCCAAAGGATTATAACCAGTTGCTGCTCACTGGTGAATACGGCCCTTTGTGAGCCTGTGCGGGGGACGTGCTGCGCAGGGGGAGGGAACAACTCCGGGCGCTGATTTAAGTGAGTGCAAACAAGGCTGACATTGTTCCTCTGCAGCCTCCCCAGGAGCCCGGCTTTGCAGGTCACCCTCTGATCTGAGGCAACACCAGCCACCTCCCTTGTTCTGGATGAGCCAGAGAGCCCTTTTGTTTGTCGTGGTGTATCCACAGGGAAAATCCAGCAGAGAATGGGGTCAGCGAAGCCTTTTGCCTGGCAGAAAGCAAAAGGAAAAGGAATCTCCTGTGAGGTTAGTTATTTGTAAGAGATTTGTCCTATATATATGTGCTTATCCCAGACTGAACTACAGAAAACTGTCTTCAATGCACAGGTGTTCATGGAGTCCTCAAATCCTTACATCACACATTCACGGGAAAGCAAAACTTTAAAACTATCCCAAGTCTAAAGCCTGCT